TTATATTCTTTCATACTAAACAGAAGTCCATCAGATGAAATCCTCATCTCTAACACTGAGAATCAAGTCTATATCTATGACCCGACTGGATCCACTCTCAAACACACTATTCCAACAAAGCACAACAGGGTGAGGCAGGTTTCTTCTACCAGGTCGGGTTTGATCATCACAAGTACATGTTACGATCCAAGCATGGTGACGGTCTATGACAGAGATGGGAATGCTGGTGAGTCTGTACGAGCTCCAGAGAATGTCTGCATGTTTGCTGCCGTGGATGAGCAGGACAGGGTGTATGTAGCGAGTTTTGATCGTGAGAATTGTAACGTGGTGATGAGGCTATATGACCTTGATGGTTTGAACCTGAAGGAGAGAGTTGAGTTCAATGTACTTAATCTGAAGCTTAGTCATACTCGGTGTTACTTGGTTTCCCTCTCCTCAAACATGCTCGCGTTTGCTTGTGACAAGAAGTTGTATTTCATCAAGGTATCACTGTAATCCATGTTACATGGACCTATTACCATTATTGCTCGTGTGTATATACATGTACCTCTCTGTTCCAGCTCTACTCTAATATGGGTCTGTAATGTGTCATATTCTATCATTTATTATGTGATAACAAAACGAACGAGAAGATTTCCATTCTCTCAATAGATTTTAGTTGTCTCTATACAGTTGACATTATCCAATATAATAACAACGTCCCTCTATCAAAATGATATGTTTATGCGTAAAATATACAATAACTATATATTTTGTTGTGTAATTGTTTTCTCTTTGTAATATTAACAGATGGTTGTTACTGCAAAATCAAAGAATAACAACGACTACAGACAAACTGTTGAAACTTTTTCGTCTTGGCTCATAGTTTTTTGCCATTTACTCAATGAGTGATTTTTGACTTGGAATTTGGAATGTCTTCATCTGCATTTTATAACGGTAGATAGAGAATGGGGTAAGATAGGATTTCGGTTCTCATATAATATAGACATGTATGATAATACCGAGAATGGGGTTACTGTCATTTATTACTTAAGGGCGTAGGTCCCCTAGTTGATAAGCATATTAGCATACACATGCTTTAGCAGTCACGCAAATCAAACACTGGCATATTGTCATTCAATAAAATCTGAGAATGTATACTATTATCTAGATCTATTAGGAATAAATCATTGTCAAAATAATTCCGTAAATTGGGGTAAAACAAAAATATTTCAATGTTGTGAGCGAGAGTGTAAGTTGGACTTAAACATTATGGAGACCCATTTGTAGTCTTTAAAAAATATATTTAAAAGCAAAAATTCAAGTATTCAAGACTTTTCATAAATTCCACATCAAGAACTAATAATAATAATAAGAAGAAAAGAAAAATATGATTGGCTTGAATCAACATTTTATGCCTTCTAAAATAACTTTTACAAAATATTTCCAGACATGCAAACAGCTTTTCAAAATTGTTAAGTCCAACCAAGGGATAAGTTCAACTTAGGTCCTTTGTGAAACACCCCCAGGTATTTAACATGTTTTTGTACATCGTTTTGTAAAGTACTTTTAATATGCACATGTCTTAAATGTCGTGTTTTGTATTTTTCCTCACATGTTTTTTTTTCTTTTATTAGAAAATAGTTAGAGTAAGTATGTATACGCTGTAATCCTAGCCTATAACTACATGTACATCATTTTGTTGTTTGCAGACCGTATTGTTGATTGACACTGGAAGAGTCTGTTAATGGTTGACAGAGAAAGAGGGAGAGAAAGAGAGACATGGACGGACGGAAATAAAGGAAGAATGTCGGAGAAAGAGGGGATGAAAAACAAGTGAAGTTACCGTCCTATACTCTTCCAAATATAGTAATGAAAGCATATAAAACTTTTTGCTCTATCATCCAGGATTCTAAAAATTAAAGTGGATCTCCAACATAATATATCTACCACTGAAAGCCTAAGTAAGTCACTCTCTATAGATAAAAAATTATGAATACAGCCAATAAGTTCAAAGGTGTTTTTACGCTCAGTGGAAAAACCCACTTTTATTTATAAATGCTCAAACTGCATGATATTGTCAGACGATCTACTCAAGTGTGGTTTTACCATTGTAACCACGTTTGTATTCAAGGACACAATTGAAAGTTGACACAAGTGATCAGTTCTTTAAAACATTCATAATGTTCTTATTACTGGCCCGATTTGTTTTATACTTTCGCCATTTTTGTCTATCTTTTTTTTAGGTTTTCGTACAAATAAAACTTACTACAAGCGATGGGTTGCTCTTTTACATTCAAAGTTCGTATTTTGAAGTTTCCTCTTTGTTCTCTTTTTTCTTAACTTAGAAAAAAGTATACGCTGTAAATTAAATGTAGCCGATATAATACATTAATATTTTCATTTTTCTATTTCATAGTGAAAAATCTAGATTATACTTGTCTTATGTGATATTTGGATATGTAAAATAAATATCATTGTGTTGTTAATGTAAGCCTTAATGTGATGACATGTTAAACGTTGTAGTCTGATTACCTTGTCAATTACTATAATAATTTTGTTGAATTATGAAACAATATGTCTTTTATGTATATTTTGTTATCTGTATTATATCTGCATGTGAAACCAATAAACTCAACTCAACTCAACTCAACACAATATCCAAATTAAAATCTCTTAAAATTTCTTCCAACTCTCTTTGTCTCCTTGCCCGTCTCCTATACTAGTCTTTCTCAAATCCATCACTCTGATGTACCCTTCACTTTCTATCTCTTTCTGATCTACTTTCTCCTCTATATTCTAACCATCTTTTCTCCACATACATACCTCATGATTGTGAGGGTACACCTTTACCTCATCTATCCGTCTCTCTCTCTCTCTCTCTATCTCTCTCTTTCTCTCTTTCCAATCTTTCCTCGATCTCAGAATCAGTGTTTAAGAAATGAGTGAAAGGTATTGGGTGTTGGTCAAAGATAGTTGTTTTACGAAAGGAAATTGTGTTGAATGCTTCTTCAATGCATACATTTATCTTTTCAAAATTGACCACTGTAGTCAGATATACTCACAAACTCCCCCCCCCCCCCCCAAAAAAAAAAAAATAAATAAATAAATAAATATATATATATGTATATATATATATATATATAAATATATATATATATATATTTAAAAAATCAATCAATCAATCAATTGATCCTTGAGCGTGCGTACAGTACATGAACTTCTGTTCTAATAACACAGACATTCGACCCCCGCCTTAAAATAAAAGGAAAATTCCTTGATTAGCTTTTGACACTTTACCAACGGTGTGTGAGAGATATTTGTATAAAAGCAGTTCAACCGCAACAAATGAATAACTGAAGTCTGTAAAAGTTTGGAGGAAAGAAAATTAGCTGAACATCTTAATTTTTTTTTCTTCTATATATAAGTTTACAGAAACAATCTGTGTTCACATCAGTTGCTCCAGTTAAAGAACTTAAGTTATAAACATTCGCACACTTTCTTGCTAGAAAAAGAGAGGTGAAGAAGAAAAAAGAAACCAGTGTGACATGCACTTTTAAATTGTCAAATAGTACACAAAGCGTAAATAATGCGCTAGTAAAATATGCATTTTGGGGGGAGGTAACAACTCATACGTTTCTCTTTTTCCTCGACCTATAGTAAGCTCTGCCTTTAAAGTCTGGTTGGAGGGATGATGATCAACACACAGAAACAGGACTTAAAAGGAAACACATCAATATATATATATACATGAATATAATATCCAAATAGCCCTAAATGTCATAAATACAGAATACACCATTGCTTTGCATTGGTTTCAAACTATTTCAAATGAAATAGAAAAATAGTTTTAAAAAATCTCATTTTCTTGCAAAGTATGATGATTATGATCGACACCTCAAACATTTAATTTCCCTAATACTTGATATAATGTGCAACATAGCCTGTCTATTTTATATAGTCTCTATTTTATACATTATATTCAAGGTTAAATTTAGACTGAACCGGTTAAATTTACGCTTTACCGGCTACACTGCCCAATCATTAGTAAAAAAGTACATTTCCGTTATTTTTACATAGCTTTATATCAAAACACAAACTAATACAAATATTATCTCAAAAGCATTCCCCAATCTTTTGTTCAGTCATCAAGTCAATCAGATCATAATTATAGTATTGCCTCACCTAAACCATTGATTTATACATACAACCACACAACTTCAACTTTATATACAATTCAATATATATTTCTTTACGCCACATAATAAATGGGGATAAAATAAATTACTTTAACACAACATTTCCTTTTGAAACAGAATGTACATCCTGCACATCATCCCGGCAAAAAAACTTAAAGGTAAAGACCAGTTTTGAAAACACACCCCTCTCAAAAAAATGAAACCAGGAAGCTCTTACCAATCCTGTGAAAGAATATGTTTTGACTAAACACCCCCCCCCCCTCTCAAAAAATGAAATGAAAGCTCTTATTACCAATCATGTGGAAGAATATGTTTTGACTAAACACCCCCCTGTCAAAAAAATGAAGCTCTTATTATTACCAATCATGTGAAAGAACTTCGACTAAACACCCCCTCTCAAAAAATGAAATGGAAACACTTGTTACCAATCATGTGAAAGAATACGTTTTGACTACCCCCCCCCCCCCCCCACGTCAGCACAACAAATCTCCAAGGCCAATGAGAGGGGCATTGAGGCCAATCAAAGGGGCATCCAAGTCCATGGCATCGGTGGCCTTGATTTAATTTAAGCCCTGATTTTCTATATTTCATCATTTGCTATATAGGCTCAAGAGATATACCATAATCTCTTTGGTTCTACAGCTACAAGTCAAGTCAAGTAAAGGACATGATGGAAGTGCTCCATGACTGGTATAATTACATGTATGTTTCTTCTTCGTGGGTTATTGAAATAAATGTAAACTAAATTGGATTAACAGGGCATGGCCGACTATAGGTCGAATTAATGTTTATCTTGTTTGTCGCCCTCTCCAGCGCCAAGAGTAAATAAATATATTTTTCTGGCAGCCCAGTTCTTTAATAATTTTTGGATTTTGCTGTGGGTGTGACCCCTGAACAGGCTACAGACGAGGTAATTTTCATTTTCCTAGAATACGTTATTCTTTAAATGTTATTTCTTATCAGTGCATGCTCACATAGAGATTATATTGGATATCTGATGCTGGTAATTCGACTTCTAAATGTTGTCTTCGGTCCCATGTGTCTGATTTTGCGTCGCATGTAAGAGTGGGCGTATGACTATGATTCTAATTTGTTGATATGTTAATTGTTATGCATTGCATTGGGACGTTGTCGACTTGGCGTTGGGATAGAAATATACGTGAGAGAGAAAAGATACTGGTTGGATATTTCTGCCGTTTTATGTGTGAACTCTATCATTTGGAGTCTATCTTGAAATTGAACAATTTTTAACAATTTGAATATGCAAACAGTTTTGTCTTTTCAGTTCAACCTCTGACAACTTCAGAATCATGAATGGTTTGAACTTTATTTTAACTTTTATTTTCAGAAAATTACCCCTACATTATTTACTGAAATATCAGGATGAGTGTGAAAGCATTTGAACTGGTTCCTGCTGTAGAAAGGTTGAAGCTTCTTGGGGAGAGGACCAGCAAAACTTCAGTAAGTTCAGCAACCCCTAAAATAATTACTTAGGTCTAGTTATAGAAAATCCCTTTTCCCCTTCCTTTTATCAGGTGGGCTGTATAACATAAAGACCACCTTATTATTTCGTTAGAATTGCCTTTATTTATTCTTTATTTTTCTTATTTCGAACCACTTTTTTGTAAGCACGATTACTTGAAAATGGCTCAATCAAATGCCTTCAAATTTTGCACACATATGTAGTGTAGTAGTACGCTCATTTGGGCTAAAGGGGGCACTAGAGCCATATAAGAGCCGAGCTGGGTTGATTAATTGTATTCACCTAAAAGTTAAAGAACATTAATTATGTTTCCAATAGTATGCCGGGAACGGGTAAACAACCCCTGGGTTTGAATTCTTGCATTAGATTAAAGTGTTCATTTCGAAAAACACGTTGGGAATGAATTCCTGCGTCAAGATGTACAGGTGTTCATTTCCAATAACAAGTTAGACAATAGACTGTTTTGCCGGGGACGCGACATTCTCGCGAAGAGATAGACTCCTCCCATTTCTGTCGGTGACTAGATCAGATAACACTCATCTATTATGTTTTTTCATTGGTTATAATTAATTAAAGATATAACTCCTCAATTAATTGGTCGGATGACCTAAAGGGTAATTGGATATATCCCGTTTTGCAATTGGTTGGCTTCGTAAGAGCCCTCCTGGTTGGCTGGCAATATCATGTAATATCTAAGCCTCATCGGGTGCCGCGGTATTTAAATGCGAGGTGCGGGATTTTGAAGGGAGTTTTTAGTTCATATTATTTGAGAGTAGATATTATTTGAGAGTTTTATTTCATTCCTTTACCATGTTCAGTAGGATGTGCTGCTAATTTCAATCAATAGGGCCGCCCAGCCTCTGAGAGAAGCAGTTTATTTACCATGTTCAAATAATAATAATACTCGTCGTTTGCAACGATTGAAGCTTCGGCTGATATATATATTTAATAAAGTGGACTTCAACTGTAATTCCGAGCTTCTTGTGTTTCATTTATGTTTGAACTTGTCATCTTCAACTCATTTACTGGCCCACCACATTTGGTAGTACGGATGGGGTCAGCTTTCTTTCGTTAACGGCGAAGTTTGCCGTTGGCTTGCTAGCGGTTACCGCTGGTTCGTCGTGCCGACCCACCACTCGAACTCGATATCATTGGCTCGGAACACAGAAGTAGAGTGGATTAGCGACAGATTATCGTGGCGTTTATTGAAGGCATGTTTTTTTGTGGCTCAGCGGAGTAGTCCAGTACGAAAAGGGCCAACGGGCAATTGGAGGCCTTCTTGGAACACATTGCACATTCTTCCCGGTGAATGTGATTAGGATCACCACGGAGAGAGAAGTTTCCCGAGACCCCCCTCTTACCTGTTACCAACACGTCCGCGACGGGAGAAAATGCCGCGAAATTGAACGTTTGGTATGTGCTAACGAAAAATTGTTTAGTCGACTGCCCCTCGTGGAAATTTTTGCACACCATATCTACTTGGGCGATCTGAATCGTATTACCTTTAGGAGGTTCCCCGTACAGGAGTTACTCAAGGTCTGGCTGAATTCTCCGGAGCTGGTTTGTCAGCTGGCCTGGCACCCGAAAAACGCGTATCGGGAAGCTCTCGGGGGAGGAAAGTAACGCCGATGCCTCGTCACGATACTCAACCCTGCTAGTAGCGTGGACGCAATTGAAGGAGGTTCCTTATGTTTATGATTCTTCGATTGTCAGCTGAACTTGGGTTTTTTGGTCTGCAACGCCAAGTTCGTAGGGAGCAACCTTCGGCGGGAGACAAGTTGAGATAAGGAGACAAGCTGAGCTAATTAAGGAGACATTAAGCTGAGCTGAGGTATGTTTTGAAAGTCGAGAATTGGACAGTGAGAACTGAACTAAACTGAACTGATAAATTGAAACGTCCGTTGAATTTTGGATATTTTTGGATTTTTGTCCTAGATTCTTTAAAGATATTGTAGTAATGTTTAAGTGTTCGACTATTGTGTGTTGGTGAAATTATTTGTACCCGTTTGCTCTTCAAATTTTGGCTAGCATTAATGTAAGCATAGGATAGATTATTTAAACTTAAACCTACGTTTAATCTAAATTAGTATAATATAAGCACTTAATATTGATCAGTATCATAATGAGTGAAATGGAAAAACAAAAACAAATTTTAGAGCAAATGTTGCGTCTGAATATATTCACTCCCCGATCTCCATCTAATCATCCTCAGGATAACACATCTCAAGTAATTAGGAGTCCTTGCTGGTGTTGTGGTATTTTTGGTCATTTCGTTAGATTCTGTCCATTAAGAATACAGGAAAGAGGTTACAAGTGGCAGGGAAACGGTCGTCCTCCACTACAATTATTGCGTCAGAGTTCCTCCACTTCCCGATCTCCACCCAATTACGTTTCAAATAACACATCTCAATCTCAATCAAGCAAGGGTGCTTGCTGGCGTTGTGGGGGGTTTGGTCATTTTGTTAGATCCTGTTCAGCAAAAGTAGAGGAAAGAGGTTACCGATGGAAGGGAAAGGGTGGTTCTCCACTACCAGGGGTCAGGTAAAGGGGGAATAATTTGGAAGAAAATGAAGTAGATATTTTAAGTAAATTGATAAAGAAAAGTGAAGTCCCAAGGCTACTGTTTTGTTAGCCAATACTCCTTGTGAGTGCATTTCGAACTCCTTAGGATAGGAAGGGAGTTGTTTAGGTCATATTGGAGGAAAAGTTTGGTATTTTAATTATCGTTTGCGATTATAAAGACATTGATTATTCTGTGATAAAGTATAATTGTTTTAAAAATGTTTGCTAACATTCAAATTCATAGAGGCTGGGCGCTTCTTGGGATTATATGTATATATTAAAGATGTTTTGTTTATCAATTTGCTAAGTTAGCTGCACCGTTGATTCAGTTCAACTAATTCTCCATTTAGTAAAACGAAAGAAAAAAAAGGAAAACTATTTAAGCTTGAGTGGATTATTCTAACGAATGATTCATTTAATTTGCTCAAAGAAGTTGATTCAGGCACCAGTTATCCAGATTATTCAAATAATTTTGTTTTTAGTAATTGATACAATTCCCTAAAAGGTTTAGGGCCTTGCCTATCACAAGTAGGGGAGGATGGAAGGCCTCATCATTTAACATATGCTAATAGACCATTGCAAAATACAGAAAAAAAAAAACCAGATTTGGGTTCATGTTAATGAGAGTTAAATGATTGTTAAAATGGACAGTAATGGATAATTTAGAGATCACTTATTTGGAGCCCCGTTTGTTAGATTCGTTAGCTCATTTATAAAATGCTTAACTAGGAGTTAGGATGAATTCAGGGTTGAATGTTTTGGAGAGGGGCGTTATCCTCTGATATGATACGATCCTGTCTCATAATGTTGGTATATAGTGGGCATGATATCTGGGTATGATATTTTGCTGAATTCTGCATTATTTCAATGTATCAAAATTTACAAAATGCTAAACTAGCGGTTAGGGTGAATTGAGGGTTGATTGTTTTGGGGAGGGCGTTTGATATGATACGATCCCGTATCATAATGTTGGTATAGTGGGAATGATATCTGGGTATGATGTTTTGCTGAATTCTGCATTATTTCAATGTATCGAAATTTATGAATGCAAATATTTTGGTGCTTTAACTTGTTATAGGTTTCTTTACACGCATTTTATATTGTAAAGATGGAAGGTGACATCATACGGAGTACGTTGTGGAGGTCTGGGATATCCAGCTCCATTAGTTGTCCTGTATGATGTTTTTTTCCTGATATTATTCATATATTTGCGAGGTACAAAATTATTGTTATAACAGGTGATTTAATGTTTTTTTAAAGAAGCCATCCTGTACCAAGTTGGTACTTAATAATGTTTGTTTGGTAACTGTATATAAACAAAAAGATAAAATTAAACAGTTGGAGTCTACAAATTTTAGTAGAAATTAACTAATACATATGTGACAAAATAGATTTGTCTGAGTTTTATAATGTTAGTTAAAAGTAGATTCCATGAGATAGTTATAGACCGTTGGTTGTTGCTGAGACTGGGAATGTTGAGATTATTATGATACATAATTATACAGGTTTATGAGAAAGGGTGTTAATTGTATGTATATAATAAGGCATGTTTAGTCTTGCTTCCAGTGAGATGTTTGGTTCTCATGGTGAAGATGTTGATTGCTCAGTTGAAATTTTTCTCTTTCTCATGGGGGTTTAAGGAAAGAATGGAATTAAGGAATATATGCATGTAAGTTGTTTGTAATGTGGTTTATTTAACAGGTTGTGTATATTTATTATTACAATACCAGTTGACTTTGCAGGATGTCATTGTGTTGTCATTTTAGTGGTTATACCCTTCCATGTTTGGGAGCAGTTAAAATCAAGGGATGATGTTTATGCCTGGCTTTGATTTGGGGGTCTAGGGTTATCCAGCTCCAAAGAAGAGGAAGGGCATGACGTCATCCTGACATTATATTCTGTTGGTTGGTTATACATGGTGGGCAGGACATTGCATTCGTGGGTCTTTCTGGTTAATTGGTTGTAAAATAAATAAATTTAGATATTGTTGTATAATGTGATTATGCCTGGGTAATGAGTGTTTGACATTGCAAGGAGAATGTTAACTGTAATTTGTTAAAGTACATTCGTAAGTCAAAGTGTTGGTTAATGCAGCCCAAATATGCTGTATTGATAGTATATTGACAAAATTATGCTTTAAAGCAACACAAATATGTATTGCTTGATTAAATGATTCCCAGTTGGTAATCTAATATTTTATCTTAATTTTGTACGATCTCCAGGTGCAAGATCGTTTTAGTAGGGGAGATTTGTAGTAGTACGCTCATTTGGGCTAAAGGGGGCACTAGAGCCATATAAGAGCCGAGCTGGGTTGATTAATTGTATTCACCTAAAAGTTAAAGAACATTAATTATGTTTCCAATAGTATGCCGGGAACGGGTAAACAACCCCTGGGTTTGAATTCTTGCATTAGATTAAAGTGTTCATTTCGAAAAACACGTTGGGAATGAATTCCTGCGTCAAGATGTACAGGTGTTCATTTCCAATAACAAGTTAGACAATAGACTGTTTTGCCGGGGACGCGACATTCTCGCGAAGAGATAGACTCCTCCCATTTCTGTCGGTGACTAGATCAGATAACACTCATCTATTATGCTTTTTCATTGGTTATAATTAATTAAAGATATAACTCCTCAATTAATTGGTCGGATGACCTAAAGGGTAATTGGATATATCCCGTTTTGCAATTGGTTGGCTTCGTAAGAGCCCTCCTGGTTGGCTGGCAATATCATGTAATATCTAAGCCTCATCGGGTGCCGCGGTATTTAAATGCGAGGTGCGGGATTTTGAAGGGAGTTTTTAGTTCATATTATTTGAGAGTACATATTATTTGAGAGTTTTATTTCATTCCTTTACCATGTTCAGTAGGATGTGCTGCTAATTTCAATCAATAGGGCCGCCCAGCCTCTGAGAGAAGCAGTTTATTTACCATGTTCAAATAATAATAATACTCGTCGTTTGCAACGATTGAAGCTTCGGCTGATATATATATTTAATAAAGTGGACTTCAACTGTAATTCCGAGCTTCTTGTGTTTCATTTATGTTTGAACTTGTCATCTTCAACTCATTTACTGGCCCACCACAGTAGCATATGTACAAAGCACAATAACGTTTTCAACATTTTGTAAAATTTTACGAAAATCAACACATGATCATATCTCCATAACCAAAGGTTATTTCTCATTCATATTTATCATGATCAAGGTCAATATATCCGTCTGGTCAATTACAGGTCAAACAACGCGCGCGTGCCCGTACGTCCGCGCGTCAATGCGCGCGCAAATTTTTAAAATGCTCAAAATCATTTTGCATACGTTTAAGGCCATTCTAAGCATTTTATTTAAAAAAATCGCGCGTGCGCGCACGTTTTTCGCGCATAAAACTATTACACAACATAGAATCGCCTTTTTTTTTTCTTTCATAATATTCCAGATATTTTTACAAACAAATTAATACCATTTTTGTCTCTTTATGAGCTCTTGTAATACATAGCATATATGGGCAAAAACATGCCTATACAAAATCCATTGTAGCTCTTTAGGATGCAAGGTGACCCCAATTTTTTTTCATATTTTAATAGAGTATGATTCGGAAATATTGTTTCATGTTTCATTTGACCCTCAATTACCTCATGACTTCATCATAATGGCCTCCGAACTCAAAATTCCAATTTGCATATTATGACGTCAGCATATTTATGGAAAATTGATTGTATCTCTGTAAATGATTGATTTTCTTCCAAATTTTAATATGTTCTAGCTGAGACAATTTTCTACAAATGCAGTTACTATTATCCTTCATTTTGACAAAGGCATCATGGCGTATTTTTGCGATTAAAGAAGGCATGTCATTTTTTCATGTTTTGCGTGTATTCTCTATGGGACATGGCTTTTTCTTAAAACTGGTTTCTACATTCCTGTCTTTCACGAGCAATATCTCTGTCGTTTTATCTTCGTTTACACTGAACTTCAAGTATGTTGTAGCTGAGGCAATAAGATATCTCAAATGTGCCCTTGATTTTGTCTCAATTTTTAGTTAGATCAGCCCACCTATACTTGTTCCAAACAAGTATTACAAATCTAGTTTTGTTTCCTTTTGTTCTTTTTTATTTTTTATTTGCCTCTGTTTACAGCGGGCTGGAGAGGCCACTATTGAAGAATATACCACTTAGAATATTAAAATTAATAATTTACATAATTGGTTGCCTACATTGTACGTTAGTCCACAATAACATCAAATGAAAGCTAAGAAGAGGAAGAGGAGGAGGAGAAGAAGAAGAAGAAGAAGAAGAAGAAGAAGAAGAAGAAGAAGAAGAAGAAGAAGAAGAAGAAGAAGAAGAAAAAGAAGAAGAAGAAGAAGGAGGAGGAGGAGGAGGAGGAGGGGGTGACATATTTTTGAGTGATAGCAATTTCAATTGCTTTTGTGAAGTTTTGTCACCTCTGACCAGCAGATTGTATCCTTCTCTCTCTCTCTCTCCTCTCCACTTTCCTAAAGCTGTTTGCATGTATTATACAATTTCTACGTATATATTATCTGATTGTTATACTCATTGTAGGTTGTCTGATTGGTCAAATATATAATAATGATAACAATAAACCTTCCTCCTTTACTATATCCTAATTCTAGATTGAATGTATAGAATGCTGTGGGAAGAACCTCTACATTGGGACAAGTGATTGGTAAGATCATGAAGATTTGACATACATGTAAATTCCTTAAAAAATAGTTCTGCAATTCAAGTTTGAGCTTCAAGATTTCTTGTGTTACTAGAATATATAAATATTTAACAAGAGAGATACATTGTATCAATGCTATTAACATTTTGTAGAACTTTTTTCGGTGTTGATAGGCTCTCAACTTTGTGTCATAAAAGAAGTTTGAGCTTCAAGATTTCTCGTGTTAGAATATATAAATATTTATATATTAACAAGAGAGATACATTGTATCAATGCTATTAACATTTTGTAGAACTTTTTTTTAGGTGTTTATAAGCTCTTGGCTTTGTTTCACTATAGAGATATGGTTATGGTTAAAATTTGTATTTAGGTTGCCATTGTCTAACCCCACAAAACATTATTTTAGCCCTGATGGAAAATAATCGGTCAATTTGGAGTCGGCTTTGCTGTGCCTGAGGTGCGTCTATATGAAGGCTTGATCAGATATGGTGCGTTTTTTAAACCGTGTATTATGAATGGCAACTGAACGCAACAAAGATATTGCAGGTATTCGCTGAGCTATGTGTTATAAGATACAGAATTGTGACGCCCATCATACTTTACATCATTATTTTTTTTTAAATACCATGGTTCTGCTGCGTCATATCTGATCGTGCTTTAAAGCCTAGTTTGGCCAGAAGGGATTAGACCACCCTGCAAGGTCACTGGACAGGTGGCTATCTCATCAACTCAGCTCTCAATTAACATAAGAAAAAGAGGATCATGGGGGACCAATGGTCACCGATTACGCATTGTTTTCTATATAGAGGGAGCAAGTAGCTACAACTAAGACAGTGTGGCTTTAAGAGATTGGGGAGGTATTTATGGTTGAAAGTGTGCGTGTAAAATTAATTGTTGCTTTCATAAAACCAAGGTATCTTGAAAGAGCATGTGATCCTTTACCCCCAAATAGGTCATCATCATTCTTTTTTTGTTTTATGATCTTATTTCCTGTTTTGGTAAACTATATCTGAACATTTTATTTGTATGTTAGAAAAACAAATATCCAAGTCAAATGTATTTTGATTTTGATTTTGCATCTTTCTTTTTTTTTCATCATACATTTTCATGAACATAATATGGTTTGATACAATATTTTAAGTGTACATAGTTTTATACAGATAATAAACAAATTCAAACAAATATATTGAATGCAATTTCATTTTGTATTGTGTTTTTCTTCTCCTTTATCTCAATATTCTTTAGCTTTGTGATCCATTACTTGATCGAAGAAAAGATGCAACCCAATGGAAAGATCACGTTTGTCTCTGAGAAACAGTCCCATAAATACTTGGCTGTGGTAAGTCAACAATATTTTGCTCTTGTTATATATCATAATAATAATAATAATAATAATAATAATTTTTTAAAGGTACTATGTCCCATTTGCAGGCCAAAAAATGAAAAAGTTTAATTCCAACTGCATTTGAAAGATAATACTAATTTAGAACTTCCCTAAAAAAATTGGGGCTTGAAAATGTCTCCAAGTGGGAAAATAACGACTATTAGTTGTCAAATCGACTTTAGGGCTATAGAGCCCAAAAGTAATAGTCTTGATTTTCAGACAATAATTGTACCGAATGGTCATACGTTTTATGCTGCGCAAAGATTCAATCAGTTTAATCTTGGCCATCACAAGAAGTTGGTTATTGATGTAGACAATTGCTCATGTACCCTTTACAACTCTTTTCATGTATGTTATTACCAAAGAAGAAAAAAGCCAGTCAGTCACTCAATAGTGTCTGACAGTGAAGTCTAGCAAGTAAACAGGTTTCCTTGCATAATTTGAATATGAGGACACTGCTAACGTTTAAATTTCACAGAAAGGACATACATGACATATTCATAATTCCTGCTAAGTTCTACAACATTTGAGGTTGGCTGCAAAAGGGACATAGTATCTTTAATGTCCACTCCAAATTGTATTAAGTTAAACCGAAAATGGAAATTCTTTTTGCCCAATTGATCCGTTATCGTTGGAACGCCATACAAGGTAGCAGCAACTCCTGTCTTTCAATTCCCATGCCTATTTAACTCTTTATTTTCCATGAACCAATAATAATAATAATGATAACAACAACAAAAACATCAACACCATCAACAACAACACCAACAATAATAATAACGGTAATGATAATAATAACAGTAACAATAATAATAATGAAAAATTATGATAATAATTATACTACTGCAACTACTACTACTATATAGTACTAGTACTAGGACTACTACTTCTGATTCTATTACTACATGTACTACTGTACTACTAATAATGATAATATTAATAATAATAATGATAATAATGATTAAATGTTAATAATGCCATGTTAAGTTTTGTGAGATTGGTTTATACAGCCTATCTATGCACACACTTTTTGTCTTCAGGTGAATGGTACATGCACAGACCAGGTTTTTACTGGGGGGGGGGGGGTCAATTTGACCCCCCCCCCCCCTAAGATCTCGGCCGTTTCACTGCCGATCGCCGCGAAAATTTGCATGCATGTCAAGTGAAGTGTATAGAATACTATGGTAATTTCAAATTTTTGAAAAATTCACTCATTTGCATATTTATGGTAATTTATGCAAATAAGGTCATCAAATTCACATTTCTGCCCATAAATCATAGATTATTCATGTTTACATATTCTTTTTCTCTACATATATTTATTAGACCATTTGGAATAATAATACAACACAAAAAATTGGAAGAGCCAGGTTAATCCTTATGTTATCTCTTGTTTTTATAATTTCTTATGTATTTCATTGTTTTTTTAACTTATGTATTTTATTGTTTTTGTTGTTTTATTTCATTTATAACTACAATTCAACTATTTTGACCCCAAAACAAACATCTAAACTTTAAACAAGACTGAATAACCAATGTTTTATCTATTTTTAGGAAAAATGACTTTTACATATGTTTTGTACACAAATCACGAAAATGAGCGATTTTCGGGCTGACATGCAAAGACAAATGGTCACGTGACCTTGTAACCGTAGGTCCGATTTTCAAAAAAATTGTTTTAAAAGATGCGTAAGACTCGAAAGTAAAAAGTCATGAAAGGAAAATTTTATATCTGCCGCGGTTTCGGAGAAGTCGCGAAATTCCTACAGGGGGGGTCAAATTGACCCCCCCCCAGTTAACGTAGGGTTAAACTCTATTTCATTTTTTGTATGTGTAACAGAGAAAGCCAATCCAACAATTACAGGCAGCCTCAGCGCTAACCAGGATACTGGTTCTGTGTGATAATGTCCTGACTCTGCTACACATGTTCAACCTAGAGGTATGTACCGACCCCTTCCTAACCTCCTCCTGACCCCCTCCTGACCCCCTCCTGACCCCCTCTCACTACTCCCTTCCTATTCTTTCTCTCACCACCTATCTTTACTTAATACTGGTACTGTGTGATAACGTTCTTGAGTTACCAGTATCACACATGTTCAACCTAGAGATTTATATCCCACCCTAACCCCCTTTTTACACTATGAATATGACTGACAAAGAAAGCGGACAAAATATACAGTTCCTCAGGTAGACAAAGGAACATCCCTTCACTGCTATTATGTAAAAATGTGTAGAACAGGTGTCACATGCACATTCACCATTTTACGTAATAGCAGTGAAGGGATGTTCCTTTGTCTACCTGAGGAACTGTATATTTTGACCGCTTTCTTTGTCCGTCATTTTCATAGCGTTACCCCCTCTCACTACCCAACTCCCTCTCTCCCCCTTCCCTCTTGCAGCCCCTTCCTCCCCCCCCCCCCCCCCCCCATATTGACTTAATGCTGGTACTGTACTGATGCTACTACCGGTACACATGTTTACCCTCCAGGTGTTTACTGCAACCATCCTTCTCACTCCTACATCCCTCCCCCTTCATATTGTGCTCTTCTATTCTCTCTTAATTCCAATTTCCAAATCGTTTCATTCTCTACTAATTAACCCAACGTGAGGATTAAAGTCCAGTTCTACTTTGTCTAATATGTCTGTTACATGTAGTTGTCTTTACTAATAATCTCTCTCAAAAGAATTTTCATACAAAATATATGAGATGGGATAAATAAAATCTTGTAGTAAGATTGCGTAATTGCATACATGAAACATTTCAAAATTGTGAATTGGATGATTATCTTTTTCTCTTTTCTCTTCTTCTTTTTGTCTAGCCTATACTTAGTGGAGCCAAGATTAAAGGGGTGAGTATTTCATTTTCTATTTCCTTCTTTCGCTAGTTAACCCACATCAGTACAGAATTTTCTAAGGGTCTAAACGAGTCAGCTTATAACCTCCTCAAATTAGCTACAATTATTTGTATTTTTCTCTTCTTTTATCATAAAAAAATAAATCCAGTTGTTAACTGAATGAAACAGTGTGAATAAAAATAACAAAAAGCCAAGAAGAAATTAGCTTATTTGTAGACGAAAAAATAATGATTTTAAGTTTCACTCTGCAGTGTCAGTTTAGAGACTTTGGTGATTATTTTTTGATTAAATAACAATTTAATTAAATGACCTGCACCATGTACTTCAACAAGTAGTTGCACTTTCTACTTCTGTATAATATGTTATTCTGTTTAATAAGATGGAAATAAAACGTCACTAAAAGGAGACACTAAAATGCTATTACGGTAACTTGCAAATGAAGAAACTTCATTAGGGTACTGTCCTGTAACACGCTGCTTCCCTAGCTGTGTTGTTGGCTCTTGCATTGAGTTCTCTGTCTGCGAAGTGAAAATTAGGTATTTAGTTATGCACTGTTGGCAAATTGATCATGAGATGGCACTGTGCAATGAAAAGCACTCTATGGCAGAAAGTTCAGCAGTTCAGTATCGCTTTAATGCCAATTTCATGTGTTCATGTCTTTTTTTTTTTTTATTTCTCCAAGGTGACATCATTCTGTGTGAATGAGAACCCGCGGAGTGGCAGCCCTTTCAGTGTAGAGGTAAGCCTCATTTTGTTTATAATACCTGTTTACATGCAACACAAATTTTCTTCCTGTGTCATATTATATATCATGCGATGATATACCAAAGACTACACGATTATTGAACTGTTTCCAGTTCCGGTATATAATCTCTTGATGTTATTCAGGCATTAAAAGGGATGTTGTTCTGCTAATCAGGGTTGGAAATGGCGTAATTTTGCAAAGCCATTGTGTATTTCAATGCAAAACTTCCATCATCTGGTGCATTTTTGGGGGGGCCTTGCAAATTTCTCTCTCTCTTCCTCTCTGTCCTAGTTGCGATTCAATCTCAAATTAGCAATCCCCTATCTCTTATATACATAGTTGCAATTGATCAATCACAAATAAGTTGCAATTGATGTTTAATGTGTATACGATAATTGGTCCATTTCAGGATGTAAAGTAAAGTAAACTCTCTCTCTCTCTCTCTTTCTCCGACTCTTGCTCTCTCCCTCTTCTTCCTCTCTCTCTCCCTCTCTCTCTCTCTTCCTCTCTCTCTCCTCTCTTCATCATTACTCAGATTGCCGTAGCCACAAAGAGACGCTTGGTGCAGGTCTACTCAGTCACAGAAGATAAGATGGTTCTAGTCAAAGATGTATCAATACCAGATATGCCCGTCAATGTGGTGAGTAGATGACTTGGCATTGACAAATATTCAAATAGTAATCAACAAATTACATTCTGTATCATATCTTGATTTGTTTTGTATAAACTAAAATGACAATTGAATTTATATTCTACATGACAATCTCAAATCTAAAAACAACAGGTGGTATTTTTTATTCATAGATCTGTTCTACCAATTTGAATTGTGATTTGATTCTAAGTTGTCGGTCCTAGGTACAAAGTTGTAAGAATATCAATGATGCTACTAATACAGATTTGTTGGGGAAAGAATGTTGTATTAATCAATTTCTATTGTCCGGCAACTTACTTGTATAAGCTCCCTCAAACAATTGACCCTACCGCAAATACAATGTTTGACAGTAGATAGCGACCTCCCTCCCACACGGCGCAGGTAAGCACATGCGCAGATAGGATACTGGGGAAGATGATTAAAGACGAGGTTTCTTTCGGCTACCATAGAGAATCTACAGCAATGTCAACTAATTCCTTATTGTACTAAACTATTGTTCAGGTTTCATGAACTCCCCAGATAATTTGATGAGATCTGTGTAGGTACCATCATAATCTGTTGATTGTATTCTATTGGCTTCGAAAATATCATTTTCTATCAGAGTTTTGAGAGAAGTTGTTAAGTTCTTGTCCCATTGTATTTGTATTGGCACCGGAAAATGCCTTTACTAAATATACCCTTGGCTGGTGCTGCCCTCTATGGCTTAATACCGTAGTAGCGGTAGCAAGAGTCAACTACGTTGTCTATGTTGAACCAAGTTTAACTTGGTCCAACCTGATGAATTCTTGGCTCAGCAACTTTCAATATTCTCTTCCACAGGGTATTGATTCATTCTGTGTCTGTGTTGCCCTTAGCAACCAGTACATCCTGGCAAACTATGACACAGGTCAAATCACTGACCTCTTCCCCGTGGAGACGGAGCATACCACACCAATCATCAAGAGAGTCGGAAGGGTAGGTTTTAAATATGTTAATTAGGTCTTGAATTCTCTTGCTTACTTCAGTCAAAAATATGATTATTTTATTCAGTTTAGGCCTTGTTAAAGAAGACAACTTTGTGTTTTATATGAGTTTTGTTGGTCAGGTACTTCATCGTAAATGTAAGAAGGCTAGCTAGCAGACTTATGTCAATCGATTTTAAAAGTCTTGTGCGGGTGGCGTTGGATATTGTAAGCAAATCGGATAGTGGTGAGCAATTAAATTATGATAAGCACTAAAAGATCTCTGTTAAATTGAAGAGGAGGTATTGTAAAAAAATAAAAATAATAATCATAAAAAATACTTATATGTCATGGTGAGTAAATCCCACTTATACAACTCCAAAGCCTAAAAGAGCTCCCGCAATCAGATTTTGTTTTAAACCAATATTACGTTTAGGTGAATTTTTAAATTAAATTGCCTTGTACATTGGGTTTGTTGGTATTTTCCTAAATACTCATGTTTTTTGTAATGTTTCCTAGATTGTGATTTAAATGCGAGCCTTTCTTTATTTATTGCTTTCTACACATTATCACATGTGTCCATGTAGAAGGAGTTTTAAGTTGCATTTAGTGTATTGTATCATCCGAGCATATTTTTGTATTTGTCTTTCTTTGCATTTACTAGATTTAATAACATTAGCAAAACATGTTGATGAGTGCGTGTCTGCTTGTATTTCCTACCTTCTTCATATAGGAGGAGTTTTTACTAGCAGGGCCCGGTGCTCTTGGTATGTTTGTAACGTCAGGAGGTATGTCCCAGAGGCCACCTTTGAAGTGGGCGGAGTCTGTATGCGCTGTCAGTTACACATTCCCGTATGTGGTAGCATTGGATGATGAGTTTCTTACAGTTCACAGGTAAACAAATTTTCTTTTTCTCCTTTTTGTTTCTTCTTCTTCTTCTTCTTCTTCTTCTTCTTCTTCTTCTCCTTTTCTTTCTTCTTCTTCTCATTCTCTTCTTCTTCTTCTTCTTTCTTTTCTTCTTCTTCTCTTTCTTCTTCTTCTCTTTCTTCTTCTTCTTCTTCTTCTTCTTCTTCTTCTTCTTCTTCTTCTTCTTCTTCTTCCTCCTCTTCCTCTTCCTCTTCTTCTTCTTCTTCTTCTTCTTCTTCTTCTTCTTCTTCTTCTTCTTCTTCTTCTTCTTAATATTATTATTATCATTATAATTTTGTTCTTCTCTTCTGTCACTTTATTGTAATTATCCCTGTGTTGTATTTCTCTTGATTCTTCCTCTTAAAAGTGGTGTTTCCTTTCTAATTTTTAATTCTAATCTACTTGAATTAGCCCTTTTTTGTACTTGTTGTGCTTCCTTTTGAAATGTTCAATTTCAATTTCTTGTTTCTATTTCTTTCCCTCTTTTTATTGGGATTAGATTCTTGTAAGTAATTTCGGTCTCATCTGTTGACAATATACAACATACTTACATATTGAATATTTGGATTAAAGTCAACACAGCCTGAACAGTTAAAATGTCCCTTTCTATCTCTTTACCCCACCCCTCATGTCAAATGAAATAACCCTATCAACTCTTTGCTCTCTCATTCATCAGTGTGTTGGACCAGCAGCAGAAGCAGACCATTCCATTCCAAGGAGGGAAGTTGTTGGGTGACTTTGAGGGGAAGATGTTTGTGGCTTCCAATAAAGAGGTCTATGCATTGGTTCCTCTGCCAGTGGAGAAACAGGTATAGAAATGCAACTGGTCAAGGGTCACCATTTTTTTACCAGATTTTCTGAAATAATGTAATTTCTTTCAAAATAATCAAGTGATTAAAATTAGCATTAATGAGCTCTCTTTGCTGACTCGGCAAATGCCAACTATGTAGTATGAGTAGCGCCTAGGCCCAAACTGCCCATTCTCTGTACGTTTTTAGCATGTTGGCTTTGAAATTGAAATGGTATAGTTAGGAGGATTTTTCAAATAAAACATGTACCTGTAAACAACGAAAAGAATGTAAATCAATTTCTAATGGTAGTCATAATCTGAATTTAATTTAATTTTTTTCACGAAAACTTCTGTGTATTACATATCGAAAATAACTGTAGTTCTAATTGTTGTAGAAAAATTGGCGACATGAAAAGCGTGAAGAAGAAAAAAATCTAAATGAGGGGCTTCAAAGTGAATTCATTATTTTAGTTGTCTTTTCTTTTTTCCTGTTTTCACATCAGGTCCAAGCGTTACTTGCCGACAAACGAGTGGAAGAAGCATTAAACCTTGCAAAGAACTACCGGAAAGCTGGACTTGGGAAGGATAAGTTTCTGCAGGTAATGGAATCTTACTCTATTTTGTTGTTAAAGGGATCTGGTAACTTTGTCTCAGATTCTGAAACAAAATCCTGGATTTAGCTTATGCTGCAATGACAATTATAAACCTTTAGGTCAGTCAGGAACCCCATGAGTTTTACAAGCCGATCGCCTGTCTGATTATCAAGATAATTATGATTGTAAATCGAAACCAAAGTTTGTATTTGCCAAACTGTTCCATAACACTACCGAGTATGGTAAAACCAGTCACTTAATTTTTTTTACTTTTTTGAGACACTTCTTGATCATTTTGAAGGTTGATTTTTTTTTTTGCTTCAATATTACACCATATCACAGACACTGATAACACGTAGGGCCATGAATCTCTGACTTAACATTGTTAAACAATCCCTTTAAATTAGAGTATTTAAACCAATGAAACCATTCAGCAATGTTTCATTTTTGTATCATTACACAGATAAAAACAATGTGATGCAAGGTTGTGGCATATTAAGATTCAATACATTTCATCCAAACTTCCTGTTCACTACCAAAACTCTACATGACCTTTGACCTACACGTTTCATTTTCTTATAGATGTATAACCACATACAGCAGCAGGCAGGATTCATCCAGTTCGCTCAGCTTAATTTCGCTGATTCCATGGAGTTGTTCAAGGAAGCTAAGCTTGATGTGAGAGAGGTAAGAAAAGGGGAGCAGCTAATCGAAGCATTTTTATGATTTTATTTAATATTTTAATGCTATATCATGTGCCTGTTAAATTGTCTTATATCTGTAATTAAAGGAAAATTGATCTGTCTGATCAATTATGCCCCCCAAATTCCTATGTATAGTGGTCCTAATTAAGGTTTCTTCAAATTGGTGGAACCTACATAAGATATACATGTACCACTATTTGATATGGAAAATAGTGTCTTTTAAAAATTTTCATATTAATTAATTCATTCCTATGATAATGTGTCTCTTGTGCCATATTTTTGTTCTAGATGACTACTTTGTGATGTAATTAGAGTCAAACCTGGTAGCAGCCACCTGTCTTCAAAGACCACTTTTGTTGTCTCCCTTTCACTGTACATGTATTATCAATAAAGTGATATTTTAAAAATATAATCAATCTCATTCTATGGAACAGTTGATCTGCCTGTATCCAAACCTACTGCCCTCGAACTCCAACTTCCATCGGGCCATCCCACCGCTTCACGACTTCGCGGATATCAGTCAGGTTGTCCGAGGTAAGCCTGACAAGGTGGCGGAGTGCAAGCAATTCCTTATGGACTTCCTAGAAGACGTGAGGGATACTGACCTAGCAGTCGGCATGAAACTGGTAAAGTGTTCTTGAGAGTTTTGTATATTGAGGTTCACCCCTCTCTCTCTCATACATTCTCTTTCACTCTCATTTTCTCTCACTGCTGTTTTTCTTATGCTGTAGACTTGTCTATAGATATGTATTATTTCCTTCTTTAAAAAGGTATAATCTCCTATTTGGCATTTTCTTTATTTTGTGTTTTATTTCTTTGGCAATTTATTACCCATGTCATATATGCATAACTGCTGCTTTTCCTAACCATCTTATCATTTTCTCCCCCACCCCCCCCCCCCCCCTCTTTCTCTCTCTCTCTCTCTCCCTCTCTTTCTCCACTCTCTCTCCCACTCTCTCTCTCTCTCTCTGTCTTGTTCCTTTCTCTCACTTTCCCCTTTCTCTTTCTCTCCCTCTCTTTCTGTCTTCCCTTCTCTCTTCCCCATCTCTTTCCTCTCTATCCTCTCTCTCTCTTTCTCTCTCTCCCCTTAATCTTCCTCTCTATCCCCCTTCTCTCACCGCTCTCCCTCTCTCTCCCCTCAATCTTTTTCCCCTCCTGCCTTTTCTTCCTCTTTCATGTCCTCTTTGTCTCTCACTCTCCCCCTCTCTCCCCTCCCCCTCCTCCTCCCCCTCCCTCTCTCTCTCATATCAGGAGGTTGATACTGCACTGCTGAAGCTCTACGCCGAGTCCAACCCCACCAAACTGATCACCCTCATCTCAACCGAGCACTCCTGCGACCCTGAAGACAGCCGTGAATACCTGCAGGGATTCAGTCGTCACCATGCCCTGGCTCTCCTCCACAGATACCAGGGTGATAGCGAGCAAGCCATGGTCCTATGGGCAAGGTAACTTCCTCTATGTCTTTGCAGAGCCAATGAACTGATTAGATTTTGAGGTCACAAGGTCAAAGGTCACAGGGCTCATTATGTATGCAAAAATAGTTTGTGATTACACTATCATTAGAACCGATGACAGATTACCATCAAACCCGAGACATGTATGTATATTGCAGAGTCAATGAACTGATTAGATTTTGGGGTCATGAGGTCAAAGATCTAAGGGTCAACCATGTATATGAAAAATCGCATATAATCACGATATTCTGAGAACCTTTTAATGGATTACAATCAAACTTGAATTTTAAAAATAGCTTTTGTTTTGGTTTGTAAAATTGCTCCATGGTGGAGGCATCATCTAGTTTTCTATGACTTAAAGCAATGCTGAATTGATGAACTTCCTGCCCTAGCATTTCATGGTCAACTTACAGACAGACGTAACCCATTGCCTAATTTTCCTCTTCGCAGCTATAGACAGAGGACACAATGCGAGAACCAACAGCGCAGCTAGGGAGGCAGCGAGTTACGGGACCATGCTGCTACAGCTGACCTGAGATGACGCTAGAGGGGATGCTTATATTACAGTGTGGCTTTAAAAATAATTTTTACATCAATTAATGCTAATGCTTCTTGTTTTTGCCAATGATTAGTGTAACATACACATGTTCTATTTACTTTTTAAACGTTTATGTTATTTGTCATGGTACCTTTAGATTAGCTGATGGAGATGCTACAGATGAAACCTTCCCTGGATTAGGGTTTGTCATTGATTTCTTATCAAGGTGAGATTCCTTCCTATTTATCTTAAAGACACATTGTTTGTTTTATTTATTCACCATGTAAAAAAATTGTTTACAGATGATGAAATTCAGTGGGTTACATCGATATAATACATAGTAGGAACAGTGCATAAACAAAATGTTTGAAGCGCAACGTCCCTAAGATAACATATCTGGTAGTTATTAGGTTTAAATAGTGGTGGGTTCTAGGACACCTACCACCTGGACAACCACCCTCCGGATAACCACTGTCTAGGGCAACTACCCCCTAGGACGACTATCTCCAGACAACTACCCCTTAGGGCAACTAGACTCTAGGACAACTAGCCTCTAGGACAACTACCCCTTAGGACAACTACCCTCTAGGATGACTAGGACGACTACTGGGGCGTAGTTGTCCTAGGGGGGTAGTCGTCCTATAGGGTAGTTGTCCTAGAGGGTGGTTATCTTAGGGGTAGTTGTCCTAGAGGGTGGTTGCCCTATGGAGTAGTTGTCCTAGAGGGTGGTTTTCTTTGAGGAGGTTATCCAGGGGGAGGGGGGTGGTTGTCCTGGGGTTAGGTGTCCGGATACGATAGTGATGGGCTCTTATGGGAAATTTTAACACCATTTAGGCGTTTGCCCAATAACAGGACAGGTGCTGTCAATCACCAGGATTAGCCTTCAGTTTTATGACCAACAGGCTTTATGTAAATCTCTGCATTTTCCACCAATCGCCTTATATGGAAAAGTCATTATCTTACATTTCCATCACCCATTGACTCTCTGATAGACCGGGGGTATTTCTTGATGGGACCACGGGTTTGCTGTGTGCGAGACTTGTTCACCCATAAATGGTAGTTTCACCAAGTCTGCTATCAGCGAATATTGACCTACTGCACATGGAAACTGACAAACAATTCTCCCTTTGATAGACCACTTCGGAGATAGCACACGTACAAATGACTCCCAAATATCCACAGATCTTTTCAACATAGAGAGGTCCCATGTTGGGTAATTTTTGAATGATTACTGCCAAAGTAATGGGGGTGCTTCATGAATATCTTTTCTTTGCCCTCTTGAAAAGAATATGTCCACCTGTATATCATAGAATGCTCTATCGTCGCATAAATGAAAAATGATACCATAACTTGAATGAATGTGTACATGTATCCATGGAGTTTATGCTCTGTGTCTTCTCATGCGAAGATCATATCTCCGAAAATGCTTATTTATTTGCATCTTCTCCCATTTCAATCACGCTTTATTACAATGATTACCATTATCTGTAGTATCACCAATCTTGAATGTATTTTTATTTGGACTTGTAAGAAAGTACAGTCAAACCTGTCTACAGCGACCGCCCAAGGGAAACACAAAAGTGTTCTTTGTAGACAGGTGGTCTCTGTAGACAAGTTCCTTTAGTACATGTTTCAACAAGAAACCATTTCCAAGTGAAACAAAAAATGAGGTCTTTGTAGACAGGTGGTCTTTGTAGACAGGTGGTCACTAAAGCAGGTTTGACTGTACTTGTACCTGAAAATGTGGTTCACATTAATGAACAAGAAGGCAATGGAAATAAACATTTCCAATAACATGGAAACTGACCTCCATCTCCCTTTTAATGTAGCTTATCTGACCATGAGCTGGTGTGGAGATATGTAGACTGGGCCATGAGAAAAGAACCAGAGAACGCTACTAAGGTAAAGACCAAAAATATTTTGTGGCGATGCTGGTGGTTTGGTGGTGGTGATGGTGTTGGTGGCGGTGATGATGATAATGTTGACGATGACCATGGTATTGATGATGGTGGTGGTGATGGTGATGATGATGATGACGGTGACAATTGTATTGATGGTTGTGATGATTTTGGTGATGGTGTTGGTGGTGATGATATTAATGGTGATGGTGGTGATGCTGGTGGTGGTGATGATGATAATGTTGACAATGGTATAGGTTATGGTGGTTATGATGGTGTTGATGCTGGGGATGGCAGTGGTAATAATGATAATGATGGTGGTGGCACTTTAAGTGTTTAAAATGGTGATGAAGATGATGATAGTGGAGATGAAGATAAAAGTGAAGACGATGATAAAAGTGATTATGCTTTTAATACTGAGGATTTTGCTGCTACTGTTGATGATGATGGTGGATAACACCTACATGTATATTAACATATTTATAAAGAATGTGCACCAATGATGGAGATGTTGATGATGTTGACGATTGCGGTGATGATTGTGATGATGATTGTGTTAATAATGTTTATGATGATATAAGTGATTTTCATGATTGTGATGATGATGTTGACCAACTTTATCTTTTTCTCCAGATTTTCACTGAGAGACCTGAGAATGAGCCAGTGAGTGAGCGGATGAGGCCAGATGTGATCATAGACTATCTTCATGCCTACCCTAGGGCTGTCATTCGATACCTGGAACATCTCGTCTTTGTCAAGAAAATGGAGGTATGATTTTCAATGAAAAGATTTTATTATGAAGGGGTGACAAAGGGTGAAACTAATCAATGTAAATCTGGATCTTATCCTCCTGTTGGTTTCATTTATCTTTTCTCTCTCTCCTTTTCTCCTCCACTTTCCCTCAATCCGGACTCACTTCCAAAATAGTTAGTGGTTGTAATAGTTGTAGCCCTGCCATAGGCTTAAAGGCATCTACATAGTGATGACAGTTTGCTTTAACCTGGATGCTAAGAAAGCATAAGTAAGCAGCAAAGGACCATCAGCTATAAGTCTTCTTCTAGGGACTTGGTAGTGAGGATTAGGGTCTTAAAGGCATCATTTAACAATGTTAAATCTGAGATGCATGGCCCTACGTGTTTTCAGTGTCTTTGATATGGTGTAATATTGAAGCCCTAAAAAAATTGCGCTTTAAAATGATCATGAAGTGCCTCAAAAAAGTAAACATCTTTGAGTGACCGGTTTTACCATACTCGTTTTCCCCAATAGACTGTAGTGTTACAAAAACCGTTAGGAAAACGCAAAATTTGATTTTGATTTCCAATCATGAATATCTTGGTAATCAGACAGGCGATTGGCTTGTAAAAGTCATGGGGTTCCTGACTGACCAAAAGTTTATAGTTATGATTGCAGCATGAGCTAAATCCAGGATTGTGTTTCAAAATCTGAGACAGAGTTACCGGATCCATTTAATCCCAGAAGCATCTGATTATTGCAGGCAATTGGTTTATGAAAATATTTCTCTTTGTTTAATTTCGTTGTTATTGTTGTTTGTATGTTTGGTGTTGCCTTTAATAGTGGATTATATTTAAGCATGTCATTTAAAACTTTGGTAGAAGATCATGTTATCCAAAATACTTAATTTTTGTCCCTGTGTGAGTTTATGTAACACTCAACTATTTTTTTTCAAAATTTCAAAATGCTATAAACCCTACTCTACTCTCTGATTATAAGGGAATTAATTTTCTTAAGAACTATCTAATTCTTCATTATTTAAAATAAATTTATTACTTACCGGTAGACTTGAGTGTTTTATCATCCATATTATTGTGAAATTGCTTTTTAAAAATTCTATGGAAAACTACTGCAATGTACATTCAGACTGTGACCTCTAATGAGACTTCCTCTTCACGTCAGCTATTGTGCTCTAAATCCACAGAATTTGGGTTTTTTGAGGGAGAAAAAACCACAGACAAAAACATCAAATTGAGGGTTTTGGGATAATGATTGGCTTCGCTTGACCAGGAGACGATGAACTTGTGTACAGTTTGCTTTTGTGTTCTGTCGCTGGGCGCTGAGCCGTGGTTTGAGCTGCGGGGATGGAATTTGAATAATATGTTCAAGTAGAGTTATGCTTAGGATCTGTGGGAGGCAAGGGAGAGGGTCGGGTCATAGGTCAAGGGTCAAGGGTTGATGCTGTGTAGAGCTTCGAGTGCTTTTTTAAAAAGGGGGAGGCGTGATGGCTCAGTGGTAGAGCAGTGGTCTCATAACCAGGAGGTCCCGGGTTCGAAATCGAGTTGTGCGCTAGTGCCCTTTGGCAAGCGCTTAGAGACATTTGTATTAAGCGCTATATACAAATTAAATATTATTATTATTATCCTCATGACCACGTCCCTAGGAGAGGGCTTAAAGCTGACGGTCCCGTTACTTTTGCTTTACTAGTATCCAGGTTAAAGCAAACCATCATCAATATAGAACTATGACTTAAAGCGATACAACGTTCTGACCCTTTTACCAGTTTTGAGACTATTTGAATGAATAGATCGAGAACAAGAGTTACAGGAAAGTGTAGACGGGTGATACTGAGAAGCTTATATCTTTAAAAAATGTAAACCCCCTGAATATTGGAAGAAACTTTAAAAAGGAACCTTTATGGATCGTAATTGCAGGTTTGAATACATCCTGAATGAGAATAAAAGCAACTTACATAATATGAGTGGACTAGTGGCCACACCCGTTCACACTTACTTGAAATAGGGCCTAAATAGGGCCTGCGCTGAAGCCAAGTCCGACTTGGGTCCCATGTGCAAGGTCTAATTTCATATCTTAGTTTCTTTATCAATATTATTCCTTAACTGTAAACCCATTTCGGTTATGCAATACATGTAAGTTTTTAAGGTTGATTTTCGAAAGGCCAGCTATGCTTGTTTTGGGTGGCCTCTACAATTACTTCATAGCATGTCGATACAACAACTTTTGTTTTCTTTTTTTTTCAATTGATTTTCCAAAGTCTACCTTTACTTGAATTATTTATATTTGGTAATCTGTACACTTTAAAGCCTGTCTGTACTAGTTTGGCCAGAAGGGATTAGATCACCCAGCTTGGTCACTGACAGGTGGTTATATCATCAACTAAGTTCTCAATTAACATAAGAAAAAGAGGATCATGGGGGACCAACAGGCACCACTTACTTTAGGCATTGTTTTCTATATAGAGAGAGCAAGTAGCTACAAGTAGTACAGTGGGGTTTTAAATATTGTATGTCAATACAACAGTTTTTTCCTTTTTTATGAATAATGTCAGAACACCCTTTGAGGGTGTTAACACACCACGGTACAAGGAACCAGATGAATTATAATTTGTCAAAGTACAAATGCTTCAAATCTAGATTTCTTTATCTCGTGTATCTGTCTTCTCTCACACAATGCCTATGACATTTTCACTCAATCAATGTAGCTTGGAAACATATTGTGCTCAAATTTCCAACATTTAGTGGAATGCCGTCACGTTCAAACATGTTTTTTTTCAAACAGTAGATTTGTTAATGTTGACAAAGGTCAAAATCTGCTGTTCAGATATTCTACTTCCTCTTCTTCTAAAAATAATTCTATCATTTAAATGTATTTATAGATGTGAATATTGCTTACACAACTTTAGTCTACCTTTTTCCTTTCATCTCATTCCCTCTTTCTCTATTTCTCTTTCTTTTTCTCTCTTTCTCTTTCTCTCTTTCTCTTTTTCTCTTTCTTTATTTCTCTTTTCTTCTCTTCTCTTTTTCTTTTCTGTCTTTCTTTCTTTCTCTTGCTCTATTTCTCGTCCTTTCTCTTTTTCTCTCTTTCTCTCTTTCTCTTTCTATCTTTCTTGTTCTCTTGTTTTCTATTTCTCTATACTTTCTTTCTCTTCTCTTTTTCTCTTTCTCTGTCTCTTGTTCTCTCTTTGCCTTTCAGTCAATCACTTTCTTACTCTTAGCTCTATTTCTCCTCACCTTTTATCTTTTCCCTCTACATCATTCTCCCTCCCCCTCTCTCTCTATCTCTCTCTCTCTTTCTCTCTCTCTCTCTCTCTCTCTCCCTCTCCCTCTCCCATCAGTTACCTCCATCTGTACTTTTATATCTCTTTCCTTACATATATTTAATATCACATGTCTAGGTTTACTGATGCAATGATTTTTTTTTTTGTTGTATTTTTATCTTTCTCTTTTTACTACATTTCTTTTGTACATTCTGACAATTGACATCCATTTGTAGATATAGAATTATTCTATTTTCAAACTAACGCCTTCAGCCAGTGCTGCTGGTCAGTTCTTATATACCAGTAAATACAATATGTAAGTAAAAACACAAATAAATGTCAGGGGACATTCATCTGAAATTTGAGACATGGTCCACCACGCAATTACTCCATGATAGATATCCTGAATCAACCAATTTAAAGGTTCAAGGTTTATTTATTTTTCTCACATAGATTCAAGCATTAACATTAACATTTACAGAGTTAGAGTAGACAAGGGGATTCATCAAGCACAGCTTGTAAATTGGGTCACCTTTGTCAATGAAAGACAAGTTATTATGATAAAAATAATAATGCTCAGTTTTTATATAGCGCTTATTACAATCACTAAGCCCTTCCAAACATAAAATCAAGAAAGAATGTATCTACAACTCAATTATTTATACCTTAATATTACCTTTACCAAGTTTTGTAATTTTTAGAGTATGTGAACAATTGATTTGTCCTGATTTATGTTTCTTGCGGATGTGACATATTGAAGCTTACATCTAAAAGTATTCAGCAAAGGCCCTAATCCAACCAGTCCACCTTCTATTCTTGAGTTACTACCCCAAAAACCAAAAAACATAACATTTACAGGGGGTGTGAATAATTCAGTTGTTTACTGTAAACACACCCATATGTCAAGTCAGAATAACTTCATGATAGTTTTTCTCTTCCAAAGTCATTTTCAAAGTCAGAATTTACCATGCCCTTTAAAGCGTATCTGCCACAGTTTACAGAAGGGATTAGACTGCCCTGCAAGGTCATTGGACAGGTGGTTATCTCATCAACTCAGCTCTCAGTTAACATAAGAAAAAGAGGATCATGGGGGACCAATGGTCACCGATTAGGCATGGTTTGTTATATAGAGGGCGCAAGTAGCTACAAGTAGTGTAGTGGGCCTTTAAAGATACTACTACTACCAGTAGTAATAATAATAATAATAATAATAATAATAATAATAATCTTTTAAAGTCCACTCCAAAGTTTATTAAACCCAAAATTGAAATTCTTTTTGCCCAAGTGATCGTGAGCCCGGCAGTCACAGAGCAGCGCCAGATCGACGTTGCTCTATCCCTTTAATGTTGAACGCCAAACAAGGTAGCAGCAACTCCCGTCTTTTAACGTCTTTTGGTATACTATGTCCCTTTTGCAGCCAACATCAAATTCTGTAGAACTTTGCAGGAATTATGAATATGTACAGTATGTCCTATCTGTGAAATTTTAACGTTAGCACTTAGCAGTGTCCTAATATTCAAATTATGCAAGGAAACCCGTTTACTTGCTAGACTTCACTGTCAGACACTATTGAGTGACTGACTTTTTCTTCTTTGGTAATAACATTGCATAACAGAGCTGTAAAGGGTACATGGGCATTTGTCTACATGAGCATTTGTCTACATCAATAACACACTTCTTTTCATGGCCAAAATTAACCTGATTGAATCTTTGTGCAGCACAAAACGTACGACCATTCGGTACAATGGTCTGAAAATCAGACTATTGCTTACTGACTTGGTAGCACTTAAGTTGATTTGACAACTAATAGTCAACATTTTCCCACTTAAAGACATTTTCAAGCCCCCTTTTTTAGGAAAGTTCTAAAGTAGTATGGAGTTTAATCTCTTCATTTTTTGGGGCCTGCAAATGGGACATAGTACCTTTAATGCCAGCATTCCAGCAAACGCCCACAAAATGTGTGAATTCTGTTTTCTGAAAAACACATCAAACTTCTACTCTATGGCATTGTATAATTGATATGTTGATGCGTGTTTTTACCATGATCGTTCGATAAGCAGTAGAGCGTTGCGATATGATTAGGTAGGGAATTCCATGCTGTAAGTCAGCCATGGTTTATCACCACGTTCTGGCGTCAATTTAACAAAAAAAGGGTTTTTCCAGCATTTTGTTTATTTCTGTTTTGCAGTTTCATTCAAAGTCATGCCACGTTTGATATAATCTGAGTTGAGTGGATGATTTTTCTCAGCGAACTTTTCTGATTTTTTTTTTTCAGCCAATTTTTCATTTAGCCAGATTTCAATTTTCATGAAAGGAGACACCTTTTGCCCTCTTCCCTCCCTCTTTCTCATATTCTCACATTTACACTTTCTGTCTATCATTATTGAATTATAGAAAAGGACCAAGAAAACAAGTAATGTTGTAGTGTGTACATATATGTCTCACTTGTTGTCTCCCCCATTCTCTATCCTCTCTTCCTATCTCTCTGGTTTCCATCTCTCTTTTTCCTCTCTTTTCACTCTGTTTCTCTGTATATGTAACTCTTCTTTTTATTTCCCTATCTATATATATCTTTCTGTTCATTCTCTTTTCCTCTGAACTTTTCTCTTTTAACCCATCTTCCTCTCCTTCTCTCTTTCCCTCCTCCTTTCTCTCTCTCTATCTTACTCTCCCTCCCTTGCTCCCTCTCTTGCTGCCTTTTATCTATCTCTCCTGTTTCCATCTCCATTCTTCCTCTCTTTGTAAACTTCCTGTTTCTCTCTATCTCTGTATTTCTCTTAATCCCCTTTTTTCCTCAGTAATTTTCTCCTTTAACCTTTCTTCCTCCCCCACCCCCTCTCTCTCTCTCTCTCTCTCTCTCTCTCCCTCTCTGCCTCCCCCTCTCCTTCTCTGCCTCCCTCTCTGCCTCCCCCTCTCCCTCTCTGCCTCCCCTCTCTCTCTCTCTCTCTCTCTTTCTCTCTCTCTCTCCTTCTCTCTCCCCCCTCTCTCTCCTCCTCTCTCTCTCTCTCTCTCTCTCTTGCTCTCTCCCTCTCTTTCTCTCCTCCCTTTCATTCAGTTGGTGGTGAGCAAGGTCATTATAAAATGGCCTGTCCATTCAAATAAATTTCTTTATTCCTTTATTCCAGCTTTTCAATAGATTTACCTAGTATTATGACCACCCCCATAGGGATGATCTATTTGTTCATGTTTTTCATTTGAAATGCTCCTTTTATGCTAGAAATAATAACTCCCCTAGTGGCACCGATTTTACTCTAAAGCCCGGCACCCTTAAATCCAAATGTGGTTGATTTTTGTCCCTCTTTTTTTTTTTATAAATAAAGGGTAACTTGAGCCATATGATCTATTTATCTCCACGCATACACACATTCTTGTGGCAAGATGTACACTTTGCATTTAAGTGGGCGTTTTTTATGAAATAGTTTTGTGCAAAGTTTGTTTAAACATTGTGTTCCTGAGGTGTTTTGATGGATGTTATGTTGTACTTATTCAGCATGTCTTGCATCTACTGGTTTTATGCCTTACGTTGACGCACTGCATATATTTTGCATGAATTTTTGTTGTTCTTTTTAAGGCAGATTGGAAGGGGGCCCTCTCTATTAACATACAAACATGTATACACATGTATCTTTCTTGGTGGGTTCTCACCCCAAACTCTCTTTCCTCCCTCCATTACCTTCTTTATCTCTCTGTCTCTATCTCTTTCCTTCTCTTCTTTCCTCTCATTATTTCCCCTCTCTGTATCTGCCTTATTAACAACATAGCATACAGTTATCAACAGAATTATTCATACTCCTTTTTAATATGATGTTTTTTGTCATTTTCTAAACTCAAGAATGAAAAGTGGATGGGTTGAATTAGGGCCACTGTTGAATACTTTTAGATATAACTGTAAGCTTTTAATATCACATTCTCAAGAAACATAAATTAGGTAAAATCAATTTTGTTTTGTCGTGTTCACATAACTAAAATATTAAAAAACTTGGTTAGGGTATAAATAATTCAGTTATCAAATAGTCTCTTGATCCTCCGTCTTTCACCCAAAACTTGTATCGACCACGGAAAGCATTTCCCATACATTGAAAGCCATGACCTGAAATGCCCTTCCCTCCAAATTGAATACCCTAGGGGTGAAAAAAATCACTCATCCTTTTTTAAAAGATTTTCATTCATCAATAATACTGTAACCTCGTCCTCTATTTTAAAGCATTTTATTGTTGAATAAAAAGAAAGAAAAGGAAGAATGCGATAGCTCCATAGTTTGGGACACTGCTATATTTTAAAGTGATGCCCGAGTTGGAGAAAGTAGTGACTTACTGACTGCTTTGCCTGTCTATCTGGTGCTCTGCTGTTTAATAGGTTTTAAGCATTGAAAGCACTCTAATTTGTTTCTGTCTTGAGCTCTTTCTTTCATCTGTTAGTGTGTTTCATTTGCTTTGAAACCATCCAACATCATAAGTCTTTTCCTTCCCCTTGGTCTTTTTTTCCTTCCATCCTTCCGTCCATGATATCTCTCAGGAGTCCATCATGCCGTAGAATAAGCCCAATCCGTTTCTTCTATCTCTGCATCCATTCTGTTACTAGATTCCGTTCCTCCCCGGCTCACTGTAAAACTTCAATATGTGTCCCTCTTTCCACCCAGCTTATCTTTGCCATCTTCCTCCACAGCTACATTTCACAACTCTTCAATCTTTTTCACTCCAACCTTTTTAAAGACATTATTTTGCCTGAATGTTAATAAAACATGTGTATGCTTGTACATACGTGCAGGTAATAACTTAATTATTCATACCCCTTGTAAGTTTGATATGTTTTGTGCTTTTCGTAACTCCAGAATAAAAGGTGAACTGGTCGAATGCTTTTACCGTAGATGTAATTTTTGATATGTCACATTCTAAAAAACATAATTCGGGACACATACTTAATTAACTACAAAACTTGGTAAGGATATGAATAATTAAATTGTTTAGTTTAAGAAACAGGGAACCAGCAGCTTTAAACGTCTCTAGCCTTTTCAATAATAATATAATAATCATGAATTTTTAAAGAGGAAGTTGAGTTCTGGTCATGCGATTGCATTGTGACGGAAACGGTGTGGAATCGACCAGAAAGGTTGATCATCTAGCATATAAGAATTTGTGTGTGTATTGCAAGGTTCTGGAATCATCAAAATGATAAGAAATTTGGCCAAGTCTTGGTAAAGTTACAAACTCTGTACAGGGAAAGACGTACATGTTTATGGGACTACACGAATACGTGGCGTAAAAATCCTACCCGATTTTTTACAATGTTACATGACATATTTATAATATGAAGGCATTTGAAGAGCCATGCTTTTCAGGGAACATGTCTTATCTGATGTTCTTCCACACTAGCATAATAAGAATGATAACGCTCACAAATTATTTTTCACCTCTTCCCAGAACTCAACCTTCTCTTTAAAGTGCAGAAACTGTGCATAATATAAAATTCTACTGTGCTACAAGAGTTTTTCTCATGTGCTTATAAAACCACTATATCGACCAAACAGGTTTTTCAGGAATTTTGAATAAAAATAAACATTTTAAAGGAATATTAACCAATCAGGATTTGTGAACGAAACTTGCTGTTGCACAACATATTCTTTCAAGAGTGATTAGCTGGCCCTGATTAGGGCCAACCCTTGATCAACGTTTCTATAGGTTGTACTTATCAATGTCTTCAGGATCCGGGTTTTTCAGGCACATTGACCAAACAGGATTTTTGAGGAATTATTAACCCATCAGGATTTTCAGGGATTATAGACCAGTCGTGATTTTGGAGAAATATGGACCTAACAGGATTTTAAAGGAATTTTGACACAATCAGGATTTGTGAGCAGAGTGATTAGGGCTCACTCATCAGGATAAGGATATTGACCAATCAGCATTTTCCAGCAATTGTTTACCAGGATCTTTGAGGAAAATGGACCTAACTGGATTATTTCTAAGGAATGTTGAACTATCAGGATTTTTCAGGGATTCGACAACCACGATTTTCAAAGAATGTTGACCAGTTAGGAGTTTTGAGGAATATTGGCCGATCAGGATACTGAGGAATATTGACCAATTATGTTTGGAGTAATTTGCATTCACTTGTTGACCAATCAGGATGTCTGGAGTAATCTGCATTCACTAGTTGACCAATCAGGATCTCTGGATGTGATGTCAATCATCTGGTAATGACCAATAGGAGCCACTGCAGGGCTTTCAAATATCACCTGCAATGCCCTCCCTATTGGACTGCACCAAAGATTGACAAGTAGAGGCGAGGCTGTCGGCTTCCAGTCGCATCTCTGATGATTTCCAGTCCTCAAATAGTTCTCCATATACTGTCTACCTGCAGTACATTAAACTATACGTGCCTTGGTTCCAATCACAAATAGTAGAAATAATATGGATTTATGTAGCACTTAATATGAAAAACAGTTTCTAAGCACTTTACAGAAATTATTAGCCTAGTTATTGGATTCATTCTCGCACAATGTGTACCATCTCCAGCCCCTGGGGAGTATTACTACCATATATGGTCACCGTGAAGGCATATGGCAATTACTCACACAAACTTTATCCCAAACCCAACCATAACCCTAACTACATGTAGATATACTTTGATGAATTGAGGTTATGACCATACTATCACTTACTTTCTATTCATGTGATTTTTCTTTCTAATTTTCTCATGAAATGTTTTTGTCTTCAGGAAGTTAGTGCATGAATACAAAAAGGGGATTGTGCATTTCATGGTTCAAAATGCTATGCCATTGTACCTTTTTGGCTGCAGATCAATTTGTGTTGTCTTTTAAGAAGAAATAGAGCCAATTGATCTCTGCCTCTCTCTCTCTCTTTATATTGTGAGAAAAGAGGCTTTTTTAAATATCACAATACAGAAAGAATCAGACCAAAATAAATTGGAAAAATTAATGATCCATGATTCCTTCACTATACAAACAACGAAATTGCCGGCAGGAACTATTATTATGTGTCCGAAAATGCTACCCTATGTACCTGCTTCTCCGTTGGTGTGGACAAGTTTGCTGAGGCAGAGTTCAGTTGTATCTTAGGGATGGCAGTTTTCAGGCTTTTGCCCGATTCTCTTTTTCAGAACCTTTTAGAAATATGAGGCAGTACAGAGGCCATGAGTTATCATGCCATGTGAAGTTATGCATGAAGAAGAAAAAAACACTTGTAGAAATTCTTAGAACTGGGCTCATTAAAAAGTTTGGTGGTGCAACCTTCTCCATTTTATCGTCATTGCACTACAAGCCGTCTTAGTTGTGGCTTTGAGCAAGAAACAAATTTAAGATTGTGAGATCATAAAGTCATGATTTTGTCCTTGTTATTTGCCTGATTTTAAAGTTTTATTACGTTATATAATCTCTCATCCTGTAAATCTATTCCCCACATTTTGATGAATATTATACAACTTAAACTTTATTGCTTTCGACTTTGGTAAAGTAACTAATCATGATTTTGCATAACAAGCTAACACATATCAAAAGGAGAATTTTTCCCGGTATTATTCTTTCTGGTGCAACTACCGTACTGCATTGATTTGAAATGCAGTCTGTGAACGAGTGATCTCCGCCCCAGAAACATTAAGGGCGTTAGCTCGAATCCCTCAATGCCAAGTTAACGCCCTTCTGGCTGTCAATGCCAGCATCGCGTGAGATAAAACCCTGAGAGAGAGAGAAAATTGATTGCTGTAATTCTGTCATCCAGAACAGAATCGTGGCACCAAGTTCCTTTTGAACATCACTCAACCGCATATGATTGCGATGCTATTTGCAGGTGTACGATCTATAGGGGGTATTTGCACAAGACACGGCGCTTGAGCGTTATGGGTCCTTTACATTGCATAGAACGCTACATGATTCTCATAGAGTTGGGGAAGACTAGCACCTAAGGTATTCAATCACCTTTTAATGGTTTTTCATGTTTCATAGATTCTTTTGAAAAACTGAAATCTAACCCTGTATTGAAAAACTTTTCCAAGGACCACCATGTGAAAAAAGCAACTTTTGAGTTCGAACTTGTGAAGTCTGATGTACAATGAGTGATTTTCAAACTGGAATTAGTATATAAAAATATTGCAGGAGTAGGCGATCGTGGCATTGAAGGGGTTGGAAGACATAGTGGTAGATTCCTAACAAATGACCATGAAAAGTTTAACAACTCTGGGGGTGTTTTTACAAAGACTAAGATCAACTTTGAGTTGGACCTAACTATGGCAGGCCGTTCATGCCACTGTTTGCTCTCACCATTAACTGGTATTAATCTCTCAAAGGACGTCCAAATGATGGTCACAAATCTACAGAATTTACAATTTTTGATAATTCATTATTGAAGGAAAATATAATATCTAAAGACCATAATAGTGAGAGCAAACAGTGGCATAAAAGGCCTATAATAGTCATGTCCAACTTAAAGTCAATCTTAGTCTTTGTGACCCCCCCCCCCCCCCTGGAAGTGTTTTTTGTTTCCCATGGGTTTGATTCTCATGAGACCTGGGCCCTGTTTCATAAAACTTGATATCAATAACAAGTTACAAGCTACTGTTATAAGCTACTGAAATCGTGGCATCTGATTGGCTGAGAGCAAATTTATCATAGAAATTTAGCATTTGTCATTGATAACAAGTTTTATGAAACAGGGACCTGAAGCAATCAGCCGAGACGACCAAGGTTATACCATGATATCCATGATTGCTCATCTTCCAAAATCAATATGAAAACATATGAAGCAATTAGGTTACAATCAACCAGACCTGTCAGTTAAGAATCATTTTTGAAGGGAATAAAAAAGAAAAATATTGCCTGTTTCCATGTTTATAGATTTAGTTGCATTCTGGTACTGCGATTGCATAATAAAAGAAACTGTTCATATTGTATGATCTTGCAAAATCAATATGAAAACATCTGAAGCAATTAGTTACAATCAGCCAAACCTGTCAGTTAAGAATCATTTTTTAAGGGAATAAAAGAACATAATATCTGTTTCCATGTTTATAGCTTAAGTTGTTTTCTGGTTGTGTGATTGCATAAAAAAGAAACTTTTCATATTGATGATTGCTAAAGCAGGTTTGACTCTTGTTTACGAAGCAAATAGGCGTTTAGTTCTGATGTAAAGTCACTCCATTTTGGCCGGAGTAATGTTCCGAACTCACATAATATTATTGTTATTGCGTTTTATTTCAGATGTAAAAGTCACTCCCATCGGGCAGCGGTAATGTTCTGAACTTACATAATATTATAATTGCACAAACATTGGCATCTTTGTGAAAGAATTAGTACAGAGTTATTTTATCAGATAGACCTAATCTAGGCGTTTTATTTCTGATGTAAAAGTTACTCCATTGAGGCAGGGGTAATTTTTTTCTGAACTCCCATAATATTATCAAAGTTGCGCAAACGTTGTCATCTTTGTGGTAAACTTAGTACAGAGTTATTTTATCAAATAGACCTAATCTAGGCATTTTAATGCAGATGTAAAAGTCATTCCATTGGGGCAGGGGTGATGTTCTGAACTCACATAATAGTATTGTAATTGCGCAAACGTTGGCATCTTTGTGGAAGAACTACTTCAGAGTTATTTTATCAGATAGACCTGCAAGCTACAATGTAGGCGTTTTATTTATGATTTAAAAGTCACTCCATTCGGGCAGGGGTAATGTTGTGAAATCACATAGTATCATTATAATTGCGCATACGTTGGCATCTTTGTGGAATCATTAGTGCAGAGTTATTACCTTAGAAAGGCCTGATGCTCAGTTGCCATCATGATAAATTGGTAGACCAGCTCCATTAGAGTTTTAATGTACATTTTTATCAGCATTGTTGTTACTTCTGATTATTTATAAAATTTGCATTGTTTTATCCAGCTTGGATTTCGATAAAAAAGAGGGATACAATTTACATATTGTTGTATTTCACAGTCCTTTTTGTGTTTGAATTTGTTTAAAGCTACACATTTTTGTTCTCTTGTAATTCTGACTGACTTCTTTGAAGAAGAGATTTCTTTTTTAAGGATTATAACAAGTACTAACAATTCATTTATTTGTTGTATAGTACATGTACATGTATCTGCCTTGAAATGAAGAAACTACAGAAAATGTCATGCATTATGTTCTTTTAAAAAAATGGTGCGAATGTTTAGCACCTCTTGAATGTTTGTAGAGAGATTAAATAATCCGATAAAGATATTACTTCAAGGCTAAAGAGATTGAATAAATATCATTGGTGATTGTGAATGCAATGGGCCATATGAGAAGTGTCCTTGGCTTTAGAATCGGGACACAAGAAAAAGTTTCAAAGGAGATTATTCATCGCAAATCAAGTTAGAAAAGATTAAAGAAAGGAGTTATTTTGGGTCTTTTGTTGAAGAGGTGCAGCCCAGCAGTCATACTTGGATTGATGCTCCGACCCCCACCAAGATTTTCCCTTTAGTTGAACTTCCTCCCCCCCCCCCCCCTCTCCAGCCCCTTTGGTTTTCCACTCTCTGTTAGGATATATACCGATGTTAGATAGCTATAAAACAATTGGGTAGGATAATGCATGAATGGAGGCTTCTTGAGTTGCCTTCTACAATGTACATGCGTTTTGTTCCTAGAGATAGCGATAGATTTTTTTTTTTCTTTTTTTTTTTTTTTGGGGGGGGGGGGGGGTTACCACAGGCGTATTTGGACCCAAATGTGTATCCCTATCTTGAAAGTAGGTCCAGTTGAAACTGATTGTGTGTTTTACCCCCAGCAGACTATTAACAGACTATCGATTCACTTAACTATGAATTGTGAAGTCTAAATTTACCGCCTTTTTTTTCTCAATCAGTCGTTTTGTGTTCAGTTTATGAATCTTTTCTTTTGATATAAAGTCATCTTTGATATACATAAGGATCACCAAAAGAAAACTCACTTTTACAAGAGCGAAATTAAAGAGAGCTCCCATTTCAAAAAATATTTAGGAAAATATATCTATGAGATATATATTTTAATTAATTTTTTTTTCTTCAGTATATTATTATTCTATATATGGAGATACATTTAGGTAAATTCAGTGAAAAAAGCAGAAAGAATCTTACAGAAAACTGTAAAGAACATCATTCATACATTCAGTTTAAAGATTCATGCCTGCGGCTATATGACAAGATCTATCTATATTAATCAGAAATGCTTTAGCTTAAACAAAATAATAGATCCACTCAAATATGCTTAAATATACTTTTGTCTCCAGAATCATATATATAATGCGACAAGTCTGACTATAAGCCA